TTGCCAATTTGGTTTAAAACTGTCTTATTGCTATTTGTTTCTCAATAAAATTATAGGGAAAAAAGAAATATATGAAATTCTAAAAAAGAAAGAAAGAAAATGCTGACTCTTGTCATCAAGAACTGATACAGGAAGACTAGAATGATTCTTCTCAGATTAGAAGAATTTAGAAGAGAATAATTATGGGTGAACCCAGTGCTGGTGTCTCAGGAATAAGGAATTGGAAATTCAGAGACCTCTTCTTGTGTTGTCCTTGCCCTTAAGGACGCAAATTGATCAGAGAGTGAACACAACATTGACCAATTTGTCTAATAAGCTTCAGTGGGGATACAGCCCCTGGGGCACAAGGCATAACTCATTAACTTAAAGTCACATGACCCTTTTGTGTCAGGTTCAAAACACCGACACCTTTTCTGGGAGCAATCAGCCTGCCCCATGCCACATGCCTGTCTTTCTCTGCTTTTGAGGAATAGGCCTTCCATCCTCACCACTCACCTCTGACGAGAACACGATTGAAAGGGGTTGGCCCCATGAAGGGTCCATGTCACCAAGCCTGCATAGCCTTGTAAGTGTTGAAGGAAATAGAGAAATGTGGTTTAAGACCATTGACAATTGCCAAGTATAAGGCAGGGGAACAATTATGAGATCCACGGAGCAGGATGTCTTCAAAATAACTGGTTGGAGAGTACAATTAGTCTAGTTACTTAAATTTGACTTTTTATAGTGAACTCCTAGCTTAGTTGTATATTATTTGGGTGGACATCTGGGGAGATAATTGAGAGCGCTAGATTTTGTTGGCCTTTCAGTGTGTGCTGTAATGATAGCATTGCCCTGGATCACAGAGTCTAGTGATAGAGCTTCCAGTGTGAGTTGAATGAATGGATATTCCAAGGTAATAACATAACTGTAGTGATGTATAGTAAAGTCTTGCTTTTTGGTAGTTCTTTATCCTTATTACTTGACTCAAGAACTCCAGAACTTCTATTCTCCCTCAGGCTAAAACAAATATTTCTGAACTCTCCTCTTGCTCACATATTTCTGAGGACAACTTCTCCCAATAGACCTCTCCTTATTCCCAATTTGACCCTTGTCCTTAATGCCTTTTTTCTTGTCACACTCGGGATAGGACCTAGCATATTTCCACTGAGCTATATACCCTCATTTTTCTTTAATTTTGAGACAGAGAATCACTAATTTGTTAAATGGCCCAAGATGTGTTTGAATTTGTGATAATCAAAGGTCCAGAGTGCTGTGATTAGTGGCATGCCATATCATGCCCAGCTTTGTCTGTAGCTTTCCTCAGGAGAGAAGAGTCTACTTACACCAAAGCCCTTAATTCCCAAAGCCTGAATGTGTACACGAATAACTCTTTCTCAATGAATGTAGTATGCATCCAAGAACAGATTCCATTTTTTTAAATTTGTAGAAGACAGAACTCACACCAGGACTTTGCTCAGGTACCTGGCAGGATGATAGTCAGACCTGAGGTGATGCTTGGAATAGCACTAATGAGAAAGGAAGTGGTATTTTCCCAGCATTCTCTTGTGCTGTGCTTCTTTTTATGTGCTGAGGTTTACATAACTAGAAACAGAGGAATAAATGTGCTTATCAATTTTAGTCCAATTGCTCTTCTCAGGAGAGTGGAACATGAGGTGTTCTGTGAGAGAATCCAAAGGATTTTTATGTGGAAACACTGATCTTAGGTAAGGCAAAGAAGAAAAGTGAAAGGCATAGGTAAGTTGAACATTTACTTCCCTCTTCACATCCATCTTTTTATTTCGAGAACACTAGAAAAGTACTGGAACTTATAGTTCCACCTCTTTCCCATGTGTTTTACCTGAGTGTTAGGTCTCATGCTTAACTAGGAATTGTAAGCAAGATTTGGCTTCATTCCCTAATCTCCCATAGTCTCTACTATTTGATTTTTTTGTTAATTTTATTGAGAAACAAATAGCAATGAGACCGTTTCAAAAGAGGTTAGTAGGACAGTTTCAATAATACATTGCATATTGTTGTCTTCATAGTGGTTATTCATAGTAGAAGATACAGACATGATATCCTGTCCAAACACTATTAGTACAAATCTTTCTTCTCATTAAATTAAGAGAAAGTAGCTGTATATCTATCCTATTTTATATATACAGATACAAAATGGTCCTTCATTTGTATCCTTTTTTTGTTTAGTTTTGTCAGAAATGGGCATTTCTTTACCATTTAAAGATTGTAGGTGCGTGAATTCAGCAAAATAATCCAATACAGTCTAATAGTCCATAATAGTAGGGGGTTATCCATAGGACTGGCAATGTCAGAAGTTGTTGACTTGAGCCTTTTACAGCTCAGCATATTGACATGGCTTTACTTTTTATACTTCATTTTTATACTTTTCAGCTGGATGATTAAGACCAAGATAAAGCAAGACCTATATAACAAGAAATGTAACTTTTGTATCTAACAATGTCAGTCAAATCCCCTCAGGATTTACCTTGAAACCCTGTACCACAGTTTGTAGATCCTTTGTCAGTGTGAGCCATGTGGATGAGTCATGGTCATTGCTTGACCACTTTGCTCTCTGTGAAAACCTGAGAATGTTTTCTCTCCATGTGACTCTCCTTAGGCACTACATCGTTGATCAGTCTCCTCTGTGGCCCCATAATCTCCTTGATCAGAAAATTTGGGACGTCACTGAATTACAGGATGTTACAGTAGTACAGGTTCTTTTATGTTCTGAATCCTCACTGACCTTGAAAGGCTAGAGCAAAAATGTTGGCTGTCTTTGCAGCCCTTCTTTTTCTCTAACTTTTGGTCTCCAAGCTTAAGTTTTTAACCCTCCAGAAAAGAAGCTTAATGATATTATTACTATATCATTTAGGCAGTTGAGCTTAACCTCAATATCTGTCTGAATATCAAACATGTTAGATATAACATAGAACAGGTATTTTCCATCAATTATTGATATGTTAGACTTTAAATCTCTACTGAATATGAAGAAAAAATAAAAATAAAAAAATTTAAAATAGGTACTTTTTTACTTTTAAAAAGAGAATAAAAAATATTTTAAAACCGATTAGAAATTGTACAAATTTCACTAAACAAAATAATAGAAATTCAAAAAAAAATAATAGAAATTCAACAATGGAATTCGACAAAGTTATATTGCATAATGTTATCTTCATATTATTTGTTTAGATTTCCAGATATAAGCATGGAAAATTAGTTTTCAAAAACTTTTAAGATATTAGAAAGGAGAAGAAAAAATTAGCCACTAAGTCTCCTTTCAGTAGACCAGCAGAAATCAGCAGTGTGTGGAAATAGTTTTAAGTTAGTTCCTTAAACTGTAATGATGTGAGGATTCTCCTTCACTGTTCTCTTGCCCTGGGTTCTTTCACTACAGATCTCTTTTCACACCAAGCATAAGGATGTAATACCTTTGCTTTTAATTTCTCTACAACCTTGTGTACTTTCTACAGAGATTTTGATCATGAAAGTTCTCATAGTTGTGGCACATGTCCTCTTCTCCAACACCATTCCATTCTTTGTTGTTTTCTTCTATGAGTTTTTGCTTAAGCAACTGGCAAGTGCTATTTACATTCTGCTCTGGCTATTTCATGATTCTGGCCCTTTTGTGCTATTTTTTTCCTGTGGTCCTAATATCACAGTCAGTGGCTTTTCACTGAGCTACATCTCCCTCAATTTTTTTTTTTGTTCTGAGACCAGGTCTAATTAAAAGTTGTTAAGTTGTCCAGGCTGGCTCAAACTCATAGTACTCCTGCCTCAACCTTGTGATACAGGGAATTTTGTCATGCGAGAAAATGTCAGGAAATACTTTTATCTGTAGAATATTGGTGGTCTCAATTTCATTGCACTTTAATAATTTTTAACATGGTTTATTATTTGATGAAAACATTTTTTCTTACTTTCTCTTTCCCTACCTTCCTTCCATCTTCTCACCATTTCTTCATTTCTTTATTTTTCCTCTTTCTTTTTCTCCCCATTCTATTAGTTTTTCATTTCCTTTTAAACCCAACATATTCTGCAGTATGTTTATTCACATACTTTTCCTGTTCTCACAATTTTTCATTGCTCAGCTATGATAATTTGAAACTATTCTTAGTTTCAGTTCTTCACTAGTCAAGAAAAATGACTCAGTGGGTTTCATATGTTCTAGAGCAAGTCTGGACCATTTTATCTTTAAGATCTAAAGTTTCTTGCCTTCATGGTTTGTGAAGAGAAGTTGGCCGTAATTCTGATGGGTTTTCCTTTGAATGTGATCTGCTTCTTTTCTCTAGCGGCTTTCAGTAGATTATTCTTGTGCTGAATTTCTGGGATCTTGACTATTATATGTCTCGGTGTGTTTTTCATTGGATTGAGGTTACTTGGTGTTCTGTATGCTTCGGTTACCTGAATGTCAGATTGTTTCCTCATATTTGGGAAGTTTTATGCTATTACTTCTGCCCATATTTTTTAATGACATTAAATTATGGGAAAAAAATTTTAAAACAATAAATAAATAAATAAATAAAAATAAAGTTTCTCTTAAGTTTCAGAGTTGATGGACTGGGGAGACAGCTCAATGGAATAAGCTCCTGCCTGGAAGGTGCAACGTCCTAAGTTTAATCTTTTGTACAAAAAAAAAAAAAAAAACAGTTTCAGGTTTGGTGATTTCAAAGCCAAGATGAATGGGATGAGTAAGTCTCCCAGAGGCCTGTAGATAAGTATTGTTCAAAATTATGAAACATTATGTGAAGGGCCAGGGAGATGGCTCAGTAGAATAAGTGCTTCCCTGGCAAGCGCAAGGGCCTGAGTTCAATCCCTGGTTCTGAAAAACAAAAAAACATTTTGTGTAATAAATGACAGAATGTAGGATTCCTAAGCTTTATCATACTATGGTTTATATTCCCAAATCAGCACTTCAAAAACTAAAAACAAGAATAAAAAATTTACAACCTGCTTAGTGTTATTTCATGCTTTTCATTGTCCTTAATTTTCCAGCTGATGTTAACAACATGGAGCCAGGAAATCAAACACATATTTTAGAATTCTTACTTCTAGGATTTTCCCAGGACTCAGCGCATCAACTGATGCTATTTGGAGTGTTCCTGTCCATGTACTTGGTCACAGTGCTTGGGAACCTACTCATCATCCTGGCCATCATCTCTGACTCCCACCTCCACACGCCCATGTACTTCTTCCTCTGTAATCTGTCCTTCGCTGACCTCTGTTTCACCTCTACAACTATTCCAAAGTTACTGATGAACATCCAGACACAGAGCAAATCCATCACTTATGCAGGCTGCATCACACAGATGTATTTTTTCATGGTCTTTGGAGCCATGGACTCATTTCTCCTCACTGCAATGGCCTATGACCGCTTTGTGGCCATCTGTCACCCTCTACACTACCCAGCCATCATGAACCCCCATCTGTGTGACCTACTGGTTCTTGTGTGCTGGTTCATCAGCTTGATCTACTCTCTGATCCAAAGTCTGTTGATGTTGCGTCTGTCCTTCTGTAGCAGTTGGGAAATTAAACACTTTTACTGTGAACTTGCTCAGGCCCTCACACTTGCCTGTTCAGACACACTGGTCAATTATGTCCTGCTGTATATGGTGACTGGCCTTCTTGGTTTCATTCCCTTATCAGGAATCCTTTTCTCTTATACCCAAATTGTTTCATCCATCATGAGAATCTCATCAACAGATGGAAAATATAAAGCCTTTTCTACCTGTGGGTCTCATCTATCTGTTGTTTCCTTGTTCTATGGGACAGGCTTTGGTGTGTACCTCAGTTCTGATCCAACATCTTCCTGGAAAGGCATGATGGCCTCAGTGATGTACACAGTGGTCACTCCCATGCTGAACCCTTTCATCTACAGCCTGAGGAACAGAGACATTAAGAGAGCACTACAAAGAATTCTCACTGGGAGCATATTAGGAAAAAGAAAGGGGATCATAAGAAGGGGTGAAACAAGGGCCAGGAGAAAACTGGAGGGTGGAAATGGTCAAAGTATATTGTATAAGTGTACAAATACGCCAAAATTAAATCTTACATGATTCATGTCCAATTATTAAAGAAAAAAAAGATTTGGGGGAATGCTTTATGTGCAGTGATGGGAACGTTGTTCCTGAGATTTTGAGCTGCTATCAGTGCCAATAGTGGCCTCAAAAACTGCTACTTGTATTCATATGCAATAGCACTCATCTGACATCCCAGCTTGGGAGGTTGAGGCAGGAAAATCAGAAATTTAAGACTACTCTTGGCAATATAACAAGACATTGACTAAAGTAGACCAACAAACCAATGCCCAAAATTAAAAAACCACAAAATTATATCTCTAAATCATATAAATTTTGCTTTCGTTCATGTTATACCTTCTTTTCCCCTTCATCTACATCCCATATTACTGCACTTCAGTTTGGTGTTTGTATTTTGTGGGGCAGTTCAACAATTGAAACATCAAGTAAAAATTGTTGAATAAAGCCATAAAATATTTAAAAATTTAGTTTTTATTGGTACATGTTTGTAATGTATAATGATTATATTCCTCTTGGGAAACTGATACCTGCATATAACTCATTTCAATACTTGTTTTCATTTCTTTCCTCTCCCTCAATTTCTTGGTTGCCTTTCTGAAATAGATAATTTTTGCTAGTGACAATTACTATCTCTTACAAAATTCATTCATCAGAAAGTATTTGTTAGATATTAATAGCATTCCAGGGGTTTCTTAATGCCTTAGATATAGAGGTGAAAACAAAGAATTGAAGTACATGTACAGGGATGTGTTAGTTATTTTTTTAAAATTTGCTGAGGCAAAATACTCAACCCTCAAATTTAAAGGGGGAAAGGTTTATTTATCTCACAGTCAGTAGAGCTTTCAGTTTATAATTGGTTGGCTCTATGGAAGGGTGGCATGGTAGACAGGCATTGCAGAGGAGACACAGCTGATGTTAGGCAGAAGGCAGCAAAGTAATGAGGGATGGCCAAAGATCTTTCTATCCATTATATCTCATCCAGGCCACTTAGGGAAGGTAGCACTCACAGGTGTAATCTTAGTGACCTTGGTCTTAGCATTCTACCATGAATTGATTCCAGTGTCACATACTCTAGATCCAGCCACATCTGAAAAAGTCCAACCTATGATTACATTATGCTTTGGGGGGACATGTGGACACAGTCCATAAAAAGGGATATTATAGTTGGTAGCCTGAAATTAATTTAATTAGTGTCATACTACAATCTAGATAACTGGTATGGACAATCTGTGCAACAGTGCCATCTGAAACACAGACTAGCACATATGACAGAAATCTGTGATCACCACCCAGCCATTACCAGGGATTTCAAAAATGAAAATTTCTACTTTGAGGCATTTACTATCCTGCTGTGGCTAGATATTAATTGAACTTATTTGATATGATCTGTTTATGTCTCACCAAATTCATCTGCTTAAGCTTAGCACCAATGTTTTGGCATTAGGAACTGAGACAGTTCGGAAGCAATTAGGTTGTGACAGTGGTGCCCTCATAAATGGGCTTAAAGCTTCATTTCATCTCTTTTGACATCTCTCAAAACCAAAGTCTTTGGAATCAAACCACAGTAATCGCAAGAGCAACCTGGTGGAGTACTGTGCTCTTTCCTCACTGGAGAAAATACATGATGATGTTCTCAGTATTAGAACAGAAATTCTGTTCTTTATCAAATAAATAGTAATTACACTTTTTAAAAAGTTCTGAGAGTGGGCGTGGTGGCTTGTACCTGTAATCCCAGCTGGGAGGCTAAAAACAGGAGAATCACCATGAGTCTGATCTACATAGTAAGACCCTGTACACCCTGTACACCCTGTATCAAAAACATTTTTTTAATTATTTATTTATTTTTTTGGTGGAACTGGGTATTGAACTCAGGTCCTTGCGCTTGCCAGGGAAGCGCTTATTCCTCTGAGCCATCTCCCCGGCCCATCAAAAACATTTTTTTAAAAGTTGTGAATGGATTCAACTTCTCCTCATAATACTCTAATCATTGACTCCAGTCTCAGCTCAGATTCTTAGGCTCTGGCCAGCAGACAGGTCAACACCAAGCATATGGGCTAATAGTTCTCTAAGCTTTAGTTTTGGCCATACCACCAGGGAGTCTTCTCCCCAGCTCCCTACACTGCCATAGACTCCATGTTCCAGTCTCTTCTCACCTGGTGTATTGCTTGTAACTTGCTAAATGGACTAATCATTTATCAAGCACTTAGTCTCTTGGGAGATGCTCAAACAGAAAAACTTCAGTTCTCAGAATCACCGTTGACCTTGCTGAGTCCACTGGGACAAGGATAAGGTGCTGGAATCAGGAAGAGTACGTTGGGCCTGGAAATGGCAGATTTTATTAGCGATGCCTCCTTCACACCAAGCAAAGCCAATTCTAGATTATTAGTAGTGAAGGAGTCTTAGTCATCCCCATCAATATATATATATATATATATATATATATATATATATATATTACCTATATTAAAGGACAAAATAAAGAGTAACTTTGTGGAAATGGGAACATTGTAATTTCATTTCACACTGTGGGAGACCAGATGAAAATTGAGGCCTAAATGTCTTCCTATGTAAGCAAAAGGAAGAGGCAATATAGCTAAAATCAGGTTGTTTACCTGAATATACATTAATAGATAATGTAAAGTAGATGATTCTTGAATTACTTTAATTGCTTGTACTTCTATTAGGGTGAATAAAAGCAGATTGAGCCACTAGAGGCAAAAATATACAGATGCCTGCATGTAAAATTAATTCTGTGTCTGTTTGTTTTTCATCCTTGTTGACTCCTAGGTTAAGGTTAGGAACTAGGAGGACTAGGTCCCTATTGCTGCCTTTCTGAGGGAAGACCAGAGTAGGTGGTTCCAGGTGGCACCTAGAACAGGGGTAGGCACCTGGAACGGGTGTAGCTGGGTCTGCTATATCACACAATATTTTAGTTGAATGGGAAAAAACTAGCCTTACCTTAACTACTAATAATATTTAAATTTATTTTTCACTAATTGCATACATTCATCTCATATATGTCACAAAGGGCTATTTATTGTCTGTTAAATTCTTTTTTGTATTTTATTTTATGTAATTTATTTTTTTTCATAATTTTATTGACAAAAAATAGCAATGAGACAGTTTCAAATCAAATCGGTAGGACACTGTCAATAACTAACACACTGCATACATTCTTCTTAGTGGTTAATTGCTGTACAAGATGCGGACTTGAGATCCTGTTTACAAACACCATTAGAACAAATCATTCTATTCATTAAGAGAATGTAACTATATATCTATCCTAACCACTTTGAATACACAGATACAAAATGGACATTCATCTGTATACCTTTTTTTTTGTTAAGTTCCATTATTTGAATATTATAGGTGTGTAAACTCAGCAAAATATTCTAAAAGAGTCCAGTAGCCCATAATAGCATTGGGTCTTCTGTTTAACTAGCAATGTCAGAAATTGTTGACCTGAGTCCCCCACAGCTCAACATAACAGCATGGCTTTCCTTCCTATATTTCATCTTCATACTTTTCTACTGGATGGTTAAGACCAAGGTAAAGCAAGACCTATGCAACAAGAGTTGTAGCTTTTGGGTCTGATAAGGTCAGTGAAATCCCCTCAGGATTTATCTTGAGATCCTGTACCTCAGATTGTAGAAGTTTTGTCAGTGTCAGCCATGTGGATGAGTCATGGCCCTTGCTTGGCCAATGTCCTCTCTGTGAAAGCCTGAGAGAGTGATTTCTCCCCATGTGACTCTCCTTAGGCACACTCTACATCATCGATCACTTTTCTCTTTGGCCCCATAATCTCCTTGATAGAAAATTTGGGACACTACCGAGGTACATGACGTTACAGTACAAGTTCTCATATGTCTTGACTCTTAATTGACCTTAGAAGGTTAGGATCAAAACATTGGCTTTCCTTGCAGCCCTTCTTTTTCTCTAATTTTAGTCTGCAAACTTAGGTTGTTAACCATCCAGAAGACAAGCTTGTTGTTCTTATCAAACAACTTAGGCTGTTAAGCTTAACCTCACTATCTGTCTGCATTGTTAAATTCTTAAACAGTGCTGGTGCACCCATGATAAATAAACTCACAGCACATGCTTTTACAGAGATTCTAATGATCTAGCCTAGATTACAAAAATAAGTGGAGCATAGAAGATCCAAAATTGATATCTCAGAATCTAAGGCAAGATTACTGCATTTTTCATGGATTGAAACTATTAGAATTTTTTTTGAGCAGGTACACAAATATATTAGCACAAATGATACATTTCAAGATGTTTTCATTATCTTTATAGGGATTTAGTGTGAACATTAATTTTTGTCTCATTCCAAAACTGAGTGGGATGATGAAAGCAAAGAAAAAGAATGTGGACAGTGGTAAGGATACCTTGGATGGGGGAAAGAGTCAAGTTTGTTCTGAGTTGTCTTGTATCTACTTCCTTTGCTCTTGTGCCTACAATCTGGAGTTGTCATTCTTATGGTGGATGCAGCAAGTCTTACTGCTCTACTCTTTGATCTTCCAGGATCCCCCAAAAGAAAAGTACTGTGAGCAAGGGGTTTCTCCTTTGAGTGACAGACCAACAAAATGGTTGTTTATGTTTTCCAGGGGACAACTGGCTAGGACTTCAGTCAATTTCCTGGATGTCTATAATCAGACATTAAAATATAAACATGGTTTTATAAAGGCTGGCCAAACAGCTCAAGGGATTAAAGCCCCTGCAAGCAGGCACAGGAGCCAGGGGTTCATGCCTGGGCCTGCCAAGCTGGCCTCATCCCTGGGGCTCCATGAGACAGCAATTGAGACTGGTGGCACATGCCTTTAATCCCAGTTCTTGGGAGACTGTAAACAGGCAGATCACTATGAGTTCAATCTAGTAGTGAGACCCTCAACACCCTGTAGAACTTTCCCTAAAATACCAAAAAAAAAAAAAAGCATGGTTTTTATAAATGGATTCATAAGTACAGGCATGAAAAATTAATAAAGCAAAAAATTTTCAATGAATTAGTAGAAATCTATATATCTATCCATTTTTTGAGCAGTTTCTTTTCCTTTCAGCATATCTATTGCATCTTGGATCTTATTTAGTTTTTCAGTTTCTTTAACTAGGAAGACAATGTGATGTTTGCAATCTGAGTCTGATTTATTTTGCTTATGAGTATGATCTGAAGTTCCATTCAATTACCTATAAAAGTCTCAAGCTTATCCTTTTTTATATCTGAATAGCATTCCACGGTATAAAAATACATTTTTAAAACATTCCTGATATGATGGACATTTGGCTTTTCCTAAGATTTAGCTATTACAAATTGTGCTGCAAAATAAACATATATATCTATGGTATGATGTTTTCAGTTTGGAAAAATACCCAGAGGGAGGATAGATGGGTCAAATGGGACTTCTAATCCTTGTTTTCTGAGGAATCTCCTCAGTGATTTCCACAGTGTTTGCACCAGTCTCACTCCCACTAACAGTAGAAGAGGATTGCCTTTTCCTGTCAGCAGAGCCAGTATTTGTTAGTGACTGACTTTTTGATGACAACCATTCTTCTTGGGGTGAGATGGTATCTCAGTGTTATTTTAATTTGCATATCTTGAATGATGTTGAAATCTCATATGCCAGTTTTTGGTTTAGGTTTTTAAATTTTGGAGTTTATTCTAGATGTCTTTCTTTGAGGGAGAGCTAGTTAATATTTTTCTCCACTCTGTGGGTTGTCTTTTTATTCTGTTGGTGATCACTTTTCATGTGCAAAAACTTTTTAATAATGAGATACCAGGTGTTGACTCTTTGAAGTACTTCCTATGCAGTTTTGGTTTTGATCCTGAACTCTCTGCCTACCCTAGGAAATCTTGAAGATTTCCACCTAATTTCTCTTCCAGGATATTTAGTGTTTCTGTTTTAATGTTTAGATCTTTAATCCATTTTGACTTTAGTTTAGCGCATGGTGATAGACCTGTGTCAAGTTTGAGTTTTCGGCATGCAGAGAGCCAGTTTTTACAGCACCATTTGTTAAAGAGGCTATCTTTCTTCCAGTGAACATGTTTGGCTCCTTTGTCAAAGATAAGATGGTTAAATGTGATTGTAGTTGTATCTACAACTTCTAATCTGTTCCATTGATCCTTGGGTATGATTTTTTTTCCAACACCATGCTCATTTTATCACAGTAGCTTTGTAGTATAATGTCAAGTCTGGGACTGTAATCCCACCTGCCTTGCCTTTACTGCCCAGGATTGCCTTTGCTATTCTAGGTCTTCTTTGTTTCCAAATAAATTTTAGGAATGTTTTCTCTAGATCTGTGAGGTATGTTGGTGTTATTTTGATATTTGACATTTTATCAACTGTCATTATTTAAGACTATCCTGGGAAGGGCGGGGAGATAGCTCAGTGGAATAAACGCTTGCCTGGCAAGCACAAGGTCCTGAGTTTGATCCCTGGTACCACCAAAAAGGAAAAAAAAAAACAAGACAAACAAAGACTATCCTGGGCTATACATTTCAAATCCAGCCTGAACTATATAGCAAGACAGACAGACAGAAGCTAATATTTCCTTTATAAAAAAGAGAATCAACTGAACTAATGGTAACTGACTTAATGCATGTGAAATTCAACACACTACTTGATATACAGCAAGCAATACTTTTCACTCTATATGATAAAGAGGAACAGAAAAAGAGCCTTCAATGGCCAAAGAGAAAAATGGGTGCCAAGAATTAACACTTAGTGGGTTTTAGATGTTGTTCTGTCAATAAATGTAACAAAGACAAAACTATATATGTTGACCATTGTCCTAGTGCAATAGCAAGCAGAAGCACCAAGATGACACTTAAGACTTGGAGGCAGATTTATTTATGTCGATGGGTACTGAAGAGGATCATTCCAAAATATCAAGACCTGATCTCTAGTGATCTGGGGCTTAGATTGGACAAGGAAGCAGGAAGTAGAGAGACAGAACAGCTTGTCAATTGGGGATTGGTTCTGATAATATGTATCATATGTATCACAGTGATGAGCCATTTCTAAGAGACAGGAGTAACTGGGTCTGGAATAGGAACTATTACCTGAGCAACTAACAAACTGAAGTATACTGGCTTGAAAGTATAGTGTAGCATTTTCTGCTACACTAGTTATGGACTTATTTTCTCTGTTGCAAATTTGAAGTTTTTGCCTGTTCTCTGATAAGGGAATTGGGCCTTATAACTATTTCTTCTTTACCAGTTACTGTTGAGGGGATGCTGAAAGACAAAGAAGAGCAATAAGCTTTCTTTCCAAGTCTGACTGTGATCATTGCCAGACTCCCAGGAAGGCCACTTCCCCTCAACTTTGCTGCCTGTGGATTCTCCAGTACTAGGTTCCTGCAGGGATCAATGTTTGGATGCTGAAAGCTTTTTCCAGAACTCAATTTGGATAATGGTAGCATATTTCAAAAATCTCTTATCCTTGGATTTTTGGACTAACCCTGATTGATACAGTCCACAACCTTTCCTTAGAAATATGGGACATGCTCCTCCCTAGGGGAGTTGCCTACTCAGCAAACAAAGGAGCTGGCTTCCTTCGGAAAACAGCCTGTCTGGATCTTAACAACTTGGAGTAGGCACTTGGTGGGAATGCAAAGTAGTGCAGCCTCTTGAAAAAATACATTGGTTGTCTCTTATGGAGTTAAAGAATGCGGCCATAGTTTACTTCAAGGCAAATTAAATGAGAAATGCCTAAGGAACTAATTTAGCACATTCCTAGCTATGTCTGGATGATGGATTTATTGAAACAGGAAAGCCCATCCATGGTGTGGGTTGGGCCAACCAATAGCCTTGTAGCCTGTGTGGAATAAAAATGGAAAGAAGGAAGTCTGTTGTTTTGCTTTTTCAGAGCCCCTCCAAGCTTCACCATGGCATTTGGATGTTTGTCCAAGCTTCCAGCACAGACTCTAGTCTTCCAATGAGCACTCTTCCATTTTCCAATATGGACTCAACAGCAGGCTCTGTAGAGAGGCCCAGGACTTTAACCTTTGACAAAAACTCCAGCTCTCCAGCACAGAGACGGCCCTTTCGCATTCTTCCACAGCTGACTCTGCAGCTGGCCATTTTCAGCCTGCGTTGAGGACATTATGTGTAGTGAAATAAAGCAATTGTAAAGGAACAAATATAGGGCAGGCCAGATAGCTCAGCAGATTAAAGCGCCTGCTTAGGCAGGTGCAGGGGTCAAGGTTTGATGCCTTGTCAGCCCCACTCCAGGGGCGTGCTGAAACGGTGATTGGGACTGGGAGTGGTGGTGCATGATTGTAATCCCAGTTCTTGTGAGGCTGAACGCAGACTGATCACTACGAGTCCCATCTGTGTAGTGAGACCCTGTAGACCTCGTACTAAATACACAAAAAAGGAACAAATACTGTGCAGTTCCTTTTATATGAAGAGAAAGAGTCTAATAATAGACCTAAAGTAAGATGATAGGTGCTACTGGTTAGAAGTTAGGGCTATGGAGATTTGTTTAACAGCCCACAATTTCAGTTTACAAATACAAAAATGTTCTGGAGCTGGATGAAGGTGATAATTTTGCAATATGAATGTACTTATAGCTAAGAACTGTACACTTAAACATGGTTAAAATGGTAATTTTTGCTATACATTTTTACTACTAAAAGCCTCATGTATGAATGAGTATGACAGTTTTATTCATTAAAAAACTGGAAACAATCCAAATTGGTTGAACATCTGCTTCTTTCTTTCAGGAAGGCCTGGATGGGGGAAATCCTGATCTCAACCCTCTCTTTGCCTTGTCCATTAGGCTCCGCCCCCTCCCTGGTCCCATGCTAGCTCCGCCCCTTGGAGTATTAAGAAGCCACGCCTCCAGGCCTCCAGCGGCCTCACCCAGGCCCTTCAGGCTGAGCTAACCAAGCCCCACTGCTCTTCTGGTCCCACCCCAGGCTTATCCACAGTTCTGCTTCTTCTTTAGCTCCAACCCCTTTCGGCTTAACAGTGGCACACAGCCTTCAGAGCAAGTCCCAACCCCTTCCAAAGCCCGCGTTTCCAACGCCCGGGTGCACAGAGTCAGCCGCCACCTCAGAGCCTCCCGGGCGACCCAATCCCCAGCCCCGAAGGCCCCGCCCCTTGCGCCACTCGCCGCCGGGCAGCCGCGAGCCGAAGCGCGGTTCTGCGCGTGCGCGGGGCGCCGTCCTGTCACCTTGCGTCTGCGGCAGCCATGTCACCCTGCGTCTCTGTAAGCGTCTGAAGTAAATTTTTGTAACCTACAGGTCCTGGCCTGACCTCTTCCATTTTCCAGGCCCTGGAGGCGGAGGAGTGGGCCTGGAGTGTCCGGGGTCAAAGGGTTCTTTCTCGGCGTTCCGCGCCCGGATCCGCTCGGTCTCCCTTCGCGGCGCGGTCCCCTGTGAGCCCTATCAGCCCCGCCCGCGGGCGCCTGGACCCCGACCACTGCCTCGCGGACTCGGGGGCGCGACTCTCGCGAGGGTGGGGTGGGGGTGGGGTGGGGTGGGGTGGGGCTGGAACTGGAGGACCATTGTCGTGCGTAGTCTCCCAACGCATCCTGTGCTCTCTTTGCAGAAAGAGACAGCATCTCCGCTTTGGATTCAGGCACTGGAAGCTCCGGGTCGCTGTGGCCGCGCGGGTCCCTGGGTTCCTGCGCCCTGGGTGAGCTCGGTCCCCGCCCCGCCTCTCCCTGTGCAGTGCGTAGCGTTGGAGCTGTGACTGGTCCTCTGTCTGCGAGCACCAGCCTGGCACGCTGTGCTCAGATACATGAAAGCGAACGGATTTATTTTGCATACTGTGTAACCCTTCTTCTTGTCAAACGCGGTCTATATTTAATAAAATGATACATTTTTAGTCATTTACCTGTAGATTAAGTTTGATACAGAAAATGTGCCCAGTTTCCACTTTGCCCCCTTTAGTTCTTGCACTGTACGTTTTTTTTAATGTTTAATTTTTCTACTGAGCCTGTCAGGATTTTCAGTTGGATGGAAAATAGTATATAATTTAAATCCTTGCCTTGTTTGGAATTCAGAGGGAGCCAATCTTAGCTGCTAGCACTATTAAATGGATGGTTCCATTAAAAACAAAAACAGAAAAAAACAACTTTCTTTCAGTCCTTCTATTCCCCCACTCCATTGACACCCCCCTCCAGTGCTGTACTACTGAGCTACATCCCTAGCCTTTTTTATTTTAAATTTTGAAACAGTGTTTCACTAATTTGCCCAAACTGCCTTAGAAATTGAGATGTTCCTGCTTTCCCTCACCTCTCCCTGGGAATACAGATGTAGCAGGGCTACAGATGTCAGCATTAGGAATGATATAGATCAAATATTCTGCTGTGAATGCACTGTCGAGTCAAATTTAGCATGTAAATCACAGCAAAAGGACTCTTCTCAGCCTCAGTGCATAGGGAACTTAAAGGGTTGATGCTCTTTCCCAGAAACTAGGTTTTGGGGATCCTGCATCTCAAAGGAGGTAGGGAGATTGACTAGGAGCTGAACAGTAATAGCTATTAGCTCATCAAAGGGGTCCAGAAGTAAGAAATATTGGGAGTGAAGTCCCCAGAAGCCTAGTATATGAATAAATTAGTACTTCTTTTGATTTGAAATAGGGAGTATATATTCTTATGGTTCAAGGCACTCTTTGATACATTTTATGCTTTTTGTTATCTTAGGCAAGTTGATAGCCCCAGTCTTTTAGGCTGCTGTTAATTTAATTCCAAAATGTTATTTATAACAGGTTTTTTGTGGCATGGGATTTGAATTCAGAGCTCAGTCTTTACTCTGAGCTCTGTATATAACCCTTTTCTTTTTATTTTGAGACAGGGTCTCATTAGATTGATAAAATTGCCCAGACTGTGTTTGAACTAGTTAGTGATCCTCCTGCCTCAGCCTCCCAGCATGCTAGGAGCACAGCCATGTGCCCCCATTCCCAGCTTTAACCTTTTCTTTTTGCTCAGCAGGGACCAAAGCACTGTTTTCTGGCTCCAAGGAGGAGGTAAGATTGCTCTATCTTCTTTCCTACTGTCTTTTTTTTGAGACAGCATCTCACTATATAGTTTAGGCTGAAGAATTCACTAGGTAGCCGAGGTTGCCCTCAAACTTGTGATTGTCTTGCCTGAGCTTCCTGGGTGCTGAGATAAGAGGTATGCACAACCACACCTGGCTTGCTCCACTTTCATACAAGATCAGCTTGTGTTTTCTCAGGCATCTTGGTATGTATTGTGTGTTTAGAGGAAAGTCATTACTTCTAGTGGTATGCAGCAGCATCCATGCTTATGAGTGTAGGAATGTTGGCGAGGTTGGATTGTCATACTGGCTGCTAGTTGCTTATAATTTTTCAATGTCCAACAACTTTTCCTCATAAAGGGGACATGGAAAAAACAAGAAGAACTACAGAGTTACAGAAAACTATGATACAGGTAAGTGAAAGGTAGTGCTTCTCCAAAAGAACACTTCCCTTCCATTAGCTATCTTTCTGGTTATAGTGCCCTGAGACAGTGTGACATTCCACACCTCTTCCTACTGTACCGTCCATTGACCATCTTTTTAGTTGTTATCTACATTTTAAATAAACCATAGACATTAAGTATTTCCTTGAGCTTTACCTGCCCTCCCAGCACATTAATTGAACTCAAGGAAGGGATAGTATGGGCCCTGATATATAGCTGGTTGGTCAGAAGTGTAGGTGACAACTGACCTCTCAGCTCAGGTGTAGTTTTGAGCCCTCAGCCCATCGTGACATGATGCTATCACCAGGTATGAAGTGTCAGAATTGAATTGCATGAAAAGACACACAGCTAGTGTTCATAAGAGAAGTGCTTGGAGTGTGAATTACAGTTTCCCATCATTGGGACAGACAACCAGGGTGCTTGAAACTTAAGGGAGGAGATGTTTATTTTGGCTCAGAGTTTCAGTGGGTGTAGTCCACTGTTGACTACAAGTTAGAAAGAGCATGGCAGAAGAAAGCTGTTCACTTCATGGTGGCCAGGAAGTAGAGACAGGAGAGCAAGGATGAGAAGATACCGTTTCAAGTGATACGTGAGGGACCCAGCCCTTCTGACCAAGCCTCACCTCTGAAAATGATTCTTTTGGGGAACATCTTAGATTTAAACCATAACAAAGTTTGGTTTGGCACCCAGCAAGTATGAGAACTGTTCTGTGTTCTCTCAAGTCACTCAATAAGGGTAGGAAAACCACTTTGACTTTTCTAGTTACCAATCAACTATCAACAGAGAAATTTAGTGTTTTAGAAGTATAGAGAGTACAAAAAAGGATTTTTATCAGTCAGGAGGTATGTATCAGTAGGAAGAGGAAGAGACAGTTACCAAGTCCCAGAGTAAATATTGGGAATCACAGGATCTCAACATCCTCTCAATTATTTCTTAATCCCCATTATTATCATTCTCCATCCTCTTACATACACTGTAGGAACTGTTGCTTCCTCAACAGAATTTGTGTGATCTTTTAGGAATTAGTGACCTTTGAAGATGTGGCAGTATACTTTACCAAAGAGGAGTGGGCTTTGCTGGATCTTACTCAGAGGGATCTCTACAGAGATGTGATGCTGGAAACCTTCCAGAACCTGGCCTCCCTAGGTAAGAATGATACTGTTTGTTCACATAATTGTATAGATAACTGTTTTATTTAATTGATTGATTTTGTTCAATGATTTGGGCTGAAGAATGGGAATTATTGGTAAAATATGTGGTCACTGATTCCAGTGTCCTTAATGGTCCACAAGTTTCAATATGAAAATAAATATTGATGTAGCTACTTTTTGTTTTTCTTATAGTTAAAACCTTGAGGTTTATTAAGTGTTCAAGGTATAGGCATTTAAGAGTCACATTGGGATACAGGAAGCTAGTTTGAGATCTGATGATTTTACTGGTATGAGCATCTTTTGCCTAAAGACCAATAGGAACATAAATATGTTGGATTGATTTCATAGTGCAGAGATCTAGCCCTAGCCCAGGCCTGGTGAGTATGTGGGAGAGCTTCTGGCTACCCTGTGCCCATGGGACCTGTTGGTCCAAACCTGGGCACAGCATGAGACCCACTTCTGCGCCCTTGGGACCCCCACCCCCACCCAACAGCTCCCCTATACACACACACACTAAGTGAGTGAGAACTTCTGCCACATTATCAGGACACCTAGATCCAGCCCTAGCCCAGGCCCGGTGAGTGTGTGGGAGAGCTTCCTTCTCCCCTATTCTCCCTTGTCCCCTTCAGACTCAGCTTAGGCCTGGCATACAGGCCTGGGGTGGAACTCTGCAGCTGCAGTCCCTGCAGAGAAAGTAGGGACACAACCACCCAGCTAGTCCAGGAGCAGAACATCTTGCCAGAGGGGCACAACAGGTTCATTCCCAAGGGCTGCAGCAGGAAGCTGCTGAGCACAGCATCCAGACTCAAGCCAGGCACAACTGGATAAATTCAAACTTTGTAGATCTGCACCTGAATTTTGGTTGGTACTAAGGTTATAACTGCACCAAAGCTCTACAACAAAGGTCAGAGGGCAGTGCTATGCAAAATGACAACAAGAAGGAGCAAAATGCAATCTCAGAACCCAAGCCCATCCACAAGAAGTACAGAGGACATTAGCACAGAACAAATTGGGAATCACACAGCTGAAAGCAATGAATCAAGAGCTTCTGAAATAAAGAAACAACTGCAGAAAGGCATAGAGGAACTCAGATCAGAAATAAAAAAAAAAAAAGAATTCCCTGAATTAATACCATTTGCAGTAAAGAATCAAATGCACAAACGTATGGAGGAAACCCAATGCCCACCCAGAACAAGTACAGAGGACATTAGCTCAGATGAAATGTATGAATTAATAGCATCAAAAGTAAATAAGCAGGCGGCTGCAGAGATAGCTCAGTACAATAAGTGCTTTCCTGGAAAGTGCAAAGGCCTGAGTTCAATCCCCGGTTCAGCCAAAAAAAAAAAAAAAAAGTAAATAAGCAACAGCAGAAAGATATAGAGGAATTCAGAGTGGAATTAATTTCTGAAGTGAAAAAATAATTCTCTGAACTCATAGCATCTGAGGTAAAGAATCAAATACAGAAACATATGGAGGAAACCCAAGCTGAAAAAAACTGCTGCAGTAAAAGAATTAATAACTGCTTCTAAAGAAGACATTGATTATAAAAAATAGAGGAGATAAGAAAAATGACAGATTCCTTGAATGAGCAATGCAGGAAAGAAATAGATCACATGAAGCAAAATCAAAGAGATATAGAGGAACTTAAAATCTCAATCACAAACTTGCAAAACCGTTTGAGTGAAAGTGAAGACAGAGTTTCAGATCTTGAAGACACTGGTACAGCTAGTGAAAAGGTAAGAAAAGATCTCTTAAAAACAACTAGGGTGCAGGAAAAAATAATTCACCACCTGCAAGACGATGCAAAGAAGAACAATGTGAGACTAATAGGTATCAATGAGAAAGAAGGAGTCAATAGAAATGATATAAAAAGAATATGGGCAGAAGTAATCACAGAAAACTTCCCAGATATGGGAAAAGAATCTGACATTCAGGTAACTGAAGCATACAGAACTCCAAATAACATCAACCCAATGAAAAACACTGAGACATATAATAGTCAAGATCCCAGAAATCCAGCACAAGAATAACATACTGAAAGCCACTAGAGAAAAGAAACAGATCATATTCAAAGAAAAACCCATCAGAATTATGGCCAACTTTGCTTCACAAAGCATGAAGGCAAGAAGAGCATGGAACAGAGTACTTCAAGTCCTCTATGAAAATAAATTCCAGCCCAGACTACTATACCCTGCAAAACTCTCTTTCAAGTTTGATGAAGAGTGAAATACTTCCATGACAAAGAACAACTAAAGAATTTCATGATGACAAAGTCAACCCTATACAGGCTACTGAAAGATGTTCTAGAGAGAAACCAAAGTGATCAGAACTCCATGAATGAGAACAGAAGCAATCAACTAAATAGGACAAACAATTAAACACAGGAGAAAAAGGGGTAAACAACAACAGGTAATTTCACAGTGCATTATTGGAGAGCATTTCTCAGAGTTGTGGGACATCTTAGAGGAAAATAGCTCAAGATATTGGAAAGTGCCTATTACAGGATTTGTGCTTTGATTTGGTGATTTGGGGATGATTCTATGGAAGCAGGCCATATTATTTTTTTAGGCCTTCTGTAACAGAATATTGCACACTGGTGGTTAAGAACTACAGAAATCCATTCTGTGCTATTTCTGAATGCTGGAAGTCAAAACTCAAAGTGTCAGGTGGTCTGTGTTCTCTCTGAAGGCACTAGAGAAAAATGTCCTTCCCCTCTGTTGCTGGCTTCTGGTTGCTGCTAGCAGTCCTTTGACTTACAGATGGATCACTCCAGTCTGTGCCTTTATCACTTTCTTTACTGTGTGCCTCTTTCAAATCTCTCTCCTTAGAGCAAAACCTGTCATTAGTTTTAGGACCTACTGTAACCCTAAATAACCTCATCTTAACTTGACAATTATCTACAAAGTTTTTTTTTTCTAAAGAAGATACCATTCTGGGATTATGGGTGGACTTTTCTTTTTTATTAATAGAGTTTAATTTTTTGAGTAGTTCTAGGTTCAAGGCAAGATTGAGTATAAAGTAGATTTCTTATATAATCTCTTTGTCCTATTGGCATTTCATATCCCCGTGCCCCAATGGTAAATTTATTACAATTGATGAACTCACAGTGACATGTCATCATCTTCCAGTGTTCATTGTTCACATTAGGGTTCATGCATAGCATCATATATTCTGTGGCTTTGGGAAAATGTCCAAGGAATATAAACACCCTTATAATTTCATAGAGAGAGGTTTCATCATGCCTGGAAATCTCCTGGAAATAAACACAGGAGATTTATTATCCTTTATTTCTCTGTAACCATTTCCCAGCTACTGATCTATATCCTGTTTATACTTTTCCTTTTGCAGATTACCATACAGTTGTAATCATAAAGCATATAGCCTTTTCAGATTGGCTGCTTTCACTTAGCAATATGCATTTAAATATTCTATATATATTTTCATGTTTTGATAGCTCACTTCTTTATATTGCTAAATAATATTTTCATGTCTGGATATGCCACAGTTTATTTTTCATTCACCTACTGAAGAAAAACTTGGTCACCTCCAAGTTTGGGCAATGATGAATAGCATTGTCATAAACATGTAGGTGTATCTTTTTATGTGGATATAAGTTTATAACTTCTTTGGGTAGTTTCCAGCAAACACACATGATAGATAGATAGATAGATAGATAGATAGATAGATAGATAGATAGATGATAGATAGATTGATAGATAGATAGATAGATAGATAGATAGATAGATAGATGATAGATAGATCTTGTTATGCATTTCAGACTCATAATGATCCTCCCATCTCAGCCTCTCCAGCTCCCCAGCACTGGTATTGCAGATGTGTGGCATCATGCCCAGTTCTACGGCATGGTGCACGTGGGGCTCAAGGGTCAGCATGGCATGTGGTACTAGGGATCAAACTCAGGAACTTGTGCTTGTCAGGCAGGCACTTATGCCACCGAGCTATCTCCCCAGCCCTGACCATATATTAGGAGTGTATTTAATTATACAAAACTGTCTTCCAGAGTGACTGTATTTTGCATTCTCTCCGGTAATGAATGAGAGTTCCTATTGCTCCACATTGTCACTAACATTTGCCAATGTTCTGGATTTTGGCTATTCTAGTAGGTATTAGTGGTATGTCATTTTTTAAAATAAGTTCTTGATGACTTATGATATGGAGGATATTATATGCTTATTTGTCATTGGCATATCTTTGGTGAGGGGTCTGTGTAGGTCTTTGACTCATTTTTATATCAGTTTGTTTTCTTATTGTTGAACTCTAAGAGTTCTTTGTGTAAAAGAATAGGAAAACAGTCCCTTGTCAAATAAATCTCTTACAAATGTTTTCTTCCCAGCTGTGGCTTGTCTTTTCAATCTCTTCACAGAGCAGAAAATTGTTATGAAGTCAAGTGTATCAAATCTTTGTTTCATGAGTCCTATATTTAGCTAAAAATCCATCAAGGTCATCTAGAGTGTTTCCTCAATCTTCTAATACACTGTACATTTAGGTCTATGATCCATTTTGAGTTAATGTTTGTGAAGATTTTTTTTTAATTTTTTTGCATGGATGTACTTGTTTCAGTAGTTGTTACCATTCATGTACTTGTTACCATTAGTGGAGAAAAATCTATCTTTTCTCCATTGGATTGGTTTTGTTCTCTTTTCAAAAATTAATTGACCTCATAGTCATCCCTTGCTCTTTAGGTTATTGGTTCCAGAACACCGCCCCGCTAATACCAACATCTGTAGATACTCAAATCTCTTATTTAAAATGGTATATTTGTATACAACCTCTACATGCCCTCTCATATACTTTAAATAATTTCTAGATGACTTAAGATACCTAATACAATGTTAAGTGCTAATACTTATACTATATTATATAGGCAATAATGACAAGAAAAGTCTATACATGCATGGATGCATTTTTTTTTCTAAATAATTTTGATATGTGGTTAGTTGAATTCTATGAATACAGAGGCATAGTGGTATTTATGTGGCTCTGTTTCTGGCCTTTGCATTCTGTTTCATTGGTCTGTTGTGACATGGATTTTGGGGGGATGCTGTTCAATTTTGTGGGGACACTATATACATTGGGTATTGACAGAAGGTAAAAGCAATTGTATAGGCAGAGATAGGGAACCTTTTAGAGTTTTCAATGGTAACAAACAAATGGCTGCATCACATATGCCATAGATCACCTTCACTGGTGTAGAGTATTTGTTGGTAATATAGTACCTGCTTTTTACCTGTTCTTGAACAGAATTATGAAGTGTTATAATTTTGCTACATTTTATCATGGCTTTAGGATTGCGTTGTCCAACATTGGTCTTCTGTGATACTTTTTCTGTTCACCAAGAGAACATATTTCTTTATTTTACATGAAAATTTGTTTTGGCTGTATCAGACTAGCTAGTGATAATATTGTGATTTAGGTGTAAATGTCACATTAATTCTGGGAATCATAGCCTGCCTTTATTCCCTGACCTCAGCCTTTTACTTTCTTTTTCTTTTTAAAATTCTTTTATAGATTTGACATTGTGCTGCAGTTAAACTCACATATCTTTGGATGTATGACTTTAGAGTATCAACAGACTAATGTTTTGGCCCTGTCTTATGAAAATGTTTGTGGTTCTTCATTGTTTTCCTTCATGATACGTGTTTCCTCCTTTGCAGGGTACCAGATACCCATGCCTCAGCTGATCTCCCAGTGGGAAAAAGGGGAGGATCTGCTGAGAGTAAAGGGAGGACTTATCCAGGGTACTTGTATGGGGGAACAAAAGGAAGGTAATAACCCTTGAGAGAAACTCTTCTAGTTGGGGAAAAACATCAATTGAAACAAAGCAAAACTTTGAAATTGTTGATCTCCCATAGATACCTCTGATTTCTAGTTTCTTCTTTTTTTATATCATTCTTCTCATACTTTACTTGTTCTAGAAAGACTTCCATATTTATTTTATTCTTTTTAAATTAGAATTGGGTAAATAACATTTTATCCAATTCTTTTCTGTCTTGTACTTGTAATATTCTACTTATGTTACCATCAGTGTCAGTCTTCAGAGAGCTATTTACTAATGAATTGCTTACTATTTTGACCCTTATGAAAATTAAGATCAAAGTCTTGAAACACTCACACTACTGAAAGTATTTGTTCACAAATGCCTTCACTTTTCAATTTCAGGTTTTGAGACTCAACTCAATACTAATGAATTAGTTGTGCTTCAAGATATTGAGGGAGAGAAAAGATCCAGGGAACAGAAAATAGTAAGATTCAACAGAACAGGATCCTCTTCCTTTATTTTACATAAAAATTTGGAACCCCATGATGTTGATGAGCAGAGCAGAAGCCATAAGAAACATCTGAGGTGAGTGCCCTTCAGAGCAGAGAAAGTAGTGCCTCAGGGGAGAATGTTAAAATGGCCTGAGATTTAAGAAGTGTGTATATATAGACCTAAGTATAAAATTATGATTTCAAAAAGAATTTTTGTCTAGAAACTTTTGCCTCAAATTATGCTGACATGTAGAATACTTGTTATCTATACTTCAATTGTCAATAATTAGGAAAATCCCATAAGTCAAAAACTTGTTGATAGTATTGGCTGTTGTAGAACCTTCTGTGAGAAGTTTCAGCTTATAAATTGATGGAGGGAAAATGTAGTCACAGAAAGTGGTATATATTCATTACTAATGTTGTGTCTTTTACTTTTAAGTCACACGGTGGAGAAAATTTATGAATGCAATGAAGATCAGTGTGAAGAAATTCCAAATCTTAATGTGCTCAGGAGAACTACTGAAGTAAAATCCTATGAATGTCATGAGTGTGGAAAAGCCTTCATGTTTCATTCATCTCTTAAGAATCACATCCGATCTCATAGAGGAAGCAAACCCTACCAATGTCAGGAATGCGGAAAAGCATTCTATTTTCTTGCTTGTTTTAAGAAGCATATAAAGACCCCAACTGAAGAGAAGTCCTATGAATGTAAGGAATGTGCCAAGGTCTTCAGTTGTTCCTCATTCTTTAGGGCACATGTGAAGATTCACAATGGGAAGGCAAACTACAAATGCAAGGAATGTGGGAAAACTTTCAGTACTTCTTCATACTTCATAGAACATAAACGAATTCATAATGGAGATAAGCCTTATGAATGTAAGGAATGCGGGAAGACATTTAGCTGTTCATCATCACTATCTAAGCACAAAAGAATTCATAGTGGGGATAAGCCATATGAATGTAAGGAATGTGGGAAGGCTTTTAGTTCTTCCTCTCACCTTATAATACATATCAGAATCCACACTGGAGAGAAGCCTTATGAATGTAAACAGTGTGGAAAGGCCTTCAGTGAATCCTCAAAACTTAATGTACATGTGAGAACACACACCGGTGAAAAACCTTATAAATGTAAGGAATGTGGGAAAGCCTACAATTGCCCCTCCTCCTTGAGTGTCCATATGAGAAAACACACTGGAGAGAAACCCTATGAATGTCTAGAATGTGGAAAAACTTTCTATCTTCCCACTTCCCTGAATACACATGTAAAAAATCAAAGCAGAGAGAGACCTTATGAGTGTAAGGAATGTGGGAAGGCCTTCAGTTGTCCCTCATCCTTTAAAGCACACATGAGAGATCATGCTGGAAAGGTTCAATATGAGTGTAAGGAATGTAGGAAGGTCTTTAGTCGTTCCTCATCCCTCACTGAACACTTGAGAACTCACAGTGGAGAGAAGCCTTATCAATGTAAGGAATGTGGGAAAGCCTATATTAGCTCCTCTCATCTTACAGTTCATAGAAGAACTCATACTGGAGAGAAGCCTTATGAATGTAAGAAATGTGGGAAAGCCTTTATTTATTTTTCAGCCCTTAGAATCCATATGAGAACACACACTGGGGAAAAACCATATGAATGTAATGAATGTGGAAAGGCATTTCGACATTCTTCATACCTTACTGTCCATGCAAGAATGCACACTGGAGAAAAACCCTTTGAATGTCTGGAATGTGGAAAAGCCTTCAGTTGCCCTTCATCCTTTCGAAGACATGTGAGAAGCCACACAGGAGAGAAACCGTATGAATGTAAGGAATGTGGGAAAGCATTTATCTGTCCAGCCTACTTTCGAAGACATGTGAAAATCCACGCTAGAGAAAACATATGAGCATGTAGAATATGGAACGGCCTGAAAGGCTTTTTCGAATCTTGGGTAACTTGTGAAGTCTCACTGGAGGCAATGTATGTGAGAAAGTAGGAGGTGTCATTCATTCTTTCAACAAATTGAAGTTACCTATATGAAACCCCATATGTAAACCATGTGGCAAAGACTCCTTGAACATTGCTTCGCTTATTGCATACAAGAAAATTCATGCTAGAAAAGATCACCTCCTTATTCTTAAAAGTCTGCTGACCTTTTTTTTCACTGTTTTGTAATGAAATTAAAGATGATAATTTACCTTTTTAGGTCTAGCCAGATACTTTTTTAGTATGAGATGTTTGTTTTGGCTCACATACAAGTACTACTCACAGTTTTATAAAACCTTTTAGATTTATTGGTGATTTGAAATATATACAGTGAGTCCTTGACTTGCAAACATTTGAATTTTGCACTTTCACAACTGGCTAAGACTCACTTTGTTAGCCTACAAATGAATCCAACTTACGAGCAATTCTGCTGGAATTGAACTTGCAAGTCAGGGTCTAACTATATGTATTTTGAGACAGGTTCTTGCTAGCATTGAATTCCTGCACGCAAGTAATCCTCAGCTTTCCAAGTAGCTAGGACTATAGGCATATACCACCACTGTGCCTACCAGAAGGATAGTTTTTCATATGCAGATAGAAAGGAGTTCTTTTAACAATTGTTTTCCAATTCTTACTATTCTCTAAGTGTACAGTTACACATTATAGTGTGGATGCTTTGATTCTTATTGACTTTTTTGTTTGTTTGTTTGTTTGTGATGGCAGATACTAGAAGTTGCCTACCCAATATTTCTTACTCTTTTTCTTCCTTCTTTAAAAAAAACTCAGAGAGCATGTAGTTCTTGTTTTGCTTTTGTAGAAATTGTACCTAGAGCCTTGTACATGCTAGGCAGGTGCTGTACTATTGAGCTATATCTCCAGGCAATTTTATTTTTTATTTTGAGATAGGGTCTTTATAAGCTACTCAGGCTGGCTTCAAATGTATAATCCTCCTGCCTCAACCTCCCATATAGCTGAGATCAGAAGCATTCATCACTGAACTTGGATATAGTTTTTGAATATCAATTTTGCTATCAGAAGGTTTTAATGTGTGGTATTACTTTTACCAGATATTAATAAGTATAAAGATTTTGAAAGGATGGTCTCACCTGATACACTATTTTCATATATTGTTCTCTGTTCTTGCCCATGGATGGAATTTGGATCCAGTATTTTAAGTTTAATAATTGTGTTATATTAACTGGGGAATGGTTAGGGGCTTCACTTTCCAGAATCACTTTTGCAGTCCCAGTTTGCAGTTGTGTCCCATAAAAGGTTTTATGAGATTTGGAAAGATGAAGTCAGTATTATCTGTATGGTAGGCCTATGAAACAAGAAGATTCATAGTGACCTGATGTGACTCTGGTTTTCAGCTACGTTTTCTGTTGAACCCATTGAGTCATACTTGCTTGAAACTGAATGTTTGTTAAATGCTTGATTTCCATGTCCTTAAAGGCTCTAGCTCTGTACACATCTCTGTTAGCTCCTCCATCATGGCTATGCGTAGCTTCTTGGATTTTCTGGCAGACTTTGGCAGTATTATTCTCATCCCAGTGATGCATTAACTGCCTTCTTAGAATGGTACCAATTTGGGGGTAGATTGTTGTCATGTGCATAGCCCAATGCCATTATGATTTTGATCATGAGGAAAGGCACATCTGTATAAGCCTACTGTAGTTTCAGAAACAAATGGAGCTGCAAATAGCATGGCAATTTATTCTAGATATAATTGAGGAAATTATCAGAAGGCATTACTCCATTTTAATAGAAAATTTTTATTTTAAGAAGAAAAAAATTCTAAAGATAACAGGAAGGAAACAATGGTTAATACATTGCATATTTTAATCATTAAATGATTTACTCAGTATAAGGTATCAGCATTTAATTGCCCAAATAATATTAATACAAACTTTTCTTTTCCAGTCCTTTTTCTCCATAACCCCACCCCAGTTTCTTTTGAAGTTTCTTCTTTGACTGAAAGAAGGAAGATTTTATTGTCTTTTTACCTGAAGTGAACAGTAAAACCATTTTGAATTAATTTAGTTCTTTTTCTATTTTATCACAAAAATAAACCACTTTTCATCAATCACTTTTTGCTATTTTTTGAAAGTATATTTTATTAAGATATATATGAAGGTAATATGCACAATGTGCAAACCTATGTCTATAGCTTGATGAAATTTCACATATTTATACAGCATGGCAAACACAGTTCCAGGACTTTAATTAGTTCATTCCTACTCTTTCTCAATAACTCTAGAGAGGCAACCCAATATTTATTCATTATAACTGATTAGATTTGTTTGTTCTTAGTTTCCAAATAAATGTTAAATTACAATGTGTATGTGTCTGTTTTTCTTCCTCAATGTAATGCCTAGTTTGTTTTGGAAACAGTCTCACTATGTAATGCAGGCTGGCCGTGAGATTAGTTATGTAGCCCAGCCTGACCTCAAACTCATGGCAACACTCTTGCCTTAGTCTCCTGAGTGCTGGGATTATAGGCATGCCTGGCTAGTTTTCATTCTTTTGATAGATTTAAGCACTTATTTATTATTAAATCTACAAGTCTTTTGGTGGAGTTTTTGCAGTCTCCTATGTAGAGTATGATGCCATCTGCGAATAACGATAATAATAATTTCACTTCTTCCTTCCAATAATTTTTCCCTTGATTTCTCTCTTCTCTAATTGCCCTGGCTAATGTTTCCTGAGCAGTACTGAATAGGCATGGAGACAGTAGACATCCTTGCCTTGATCTTGATTTAAAACGAAGGCTTTCAGTTTTATACATTTAGTTGGCTGTTGGTTTGTCATAGATGGCTTTTATCAGGTTGAGGTAAAGACCATCTTTTTCAATTTTCTTTAGGGTTTTATTCATGAATGAGTGTCGAATTTTGTCCAAAGCTTTTTCTGCATTTTGATATGATTATGTGATTTTTGTCCTTGACTCAGTTAATATGCTGTATTACCTTTATTGATTAATGTATGTTGAACCATACTTGCATCTCTGGAATGAATCCAACTTGTTCATGGTGGATAATCATTTTGATGATTTGCTACATTGCTTGCCAGTATATCTGGAGGATTTTTGCATCTATATTCATTAGGGAGATTGTCCTGTAATTTTGTTTTTTGGTTGGGTCCTCCAGTTTTGTTATCACGGTAATGCTTGCTTCCAGGAATGAATTTTGGAATGTTGCTTCCCTTTAAATTTCTTTTAAGAGTTTGAGATTTAGTGGTGTTAGATCTTCTCTAAATTTCTTATAGAATTCAGCGGCGAGGGCCAGCCAAATAGCTTAGCAGATTAAAGCACCTGCAAACAGGCGCAGGGGCTGGGGGTTCAATATCCAGGCCTGCCATGCTGACCCCGCCCCCAGGGCACACTGAGACAGCAATTGAGACTGGGTGAGGTGGTGCACACTTGTAATCCCAGCTCTTGGGAGGCTGTGGATCACTATGAGTCTGATCTAGTAGTGAGACCCTGAACACCTTGTCGACCTTCCCTAAAATAAAAAAAAAATTAAAAAATAAAAAATCAGCAGTGACTATGTCAGGGCCTGGGCTTTTCTTTATTGGTGTGTTTTTAATTATATCTTCAATTTCATTGATTGATACTAGTTTATTTAGAATTTTTTAAATCTTGACACAGCTTTGGTAATTCATATATATCTAGGAATCTACCCATTATGCATTTTCCATCTTATTATAATACAAGTTTTCAAAGTAGGTATAGGTGATCTTCTGGATTTCTGCAGGGTCCATTGTGATTTCACTCTTTCATTTCTAATTGCATGAATTTGAGTATTTTCTTTCCTTTTTTGATAAGATTGGCTAAGGATTTCCAAGTTTATATAATATTTCAAAGAATCAACTCTTTGATTCATTGTATTATTTTTTTAACCTCCAATGCACTAATTTTTGCTCTAATCTTTACAGTTTATTCTTTTTGTATAAGCTTTTGGCTTAGTCTGCTCTTCTTTTTCTAGAAGTTTGAGGTTCATCATTTAGTTGTTTATTTGTGCTTGATCTGTTTTCCTGATATGGGTATTTACTGCTATAAATTTCCCTTTTAGGAATGTTTGCATTGTGTCCCAAATGTTCTCCTATGTTGTACTGTCATCACTAATTGTAGAAACTGCCTAATATCTTCTTTAATTTTGTGATCCATTGGTTGTTCAGGAGGGTGGTATTTAATTTTCATGTGTTTGTGAAGTTTTTGTGGTTTCTTTTGCTATTGATTTCCAATTTCATTGCACTATGATCTGGTAATATGCATAAGATAATTTCACTTCCTTTGCATTTACTTAAATGTGTTCTATGAGCTAGTATGTGGTCCATTTTGGAGAACATCCTCTGTGCAGCTTAGAAGAACATGTATTCATATGTTGTAGGGTAGAACACTGCAGACAACTACTAAATCCATTCAATCAAAAGTTTAGTTTAGTTCTAATAGTTAATTGTTGACTTTTTGTGTAGTTGATCTGTCTTTTTGTGACAGTGGGAATGGAGATCCCCTAATACAATTGGTATTTATTTGAGTTTTCATGCTCATTAATATTTTTTATATATAGCTGTGTGTACTGTTATTTGTTGCATATATCTTTGTTTGCTATCTCTTCCACTTGGATTTTTCCCTTTACAAAGATATAGTAAGCATCTTTATCTCTCGTAATCATTCTTGGCTTTAAATTCGTGTTGTCTACAAATACATTATCTACCCCTGATTTTTTTCTGTTGCATGAAATATTGTTTTCCAGCCTTTAACTTTCAGGCTATACATTTATTTTTGAGTTAAATGTGTTTTTTATCTTTTTAATTTTTAATTTTTCGAAGAGAGTACAAACTAAAATTAAAATTAAAAAGTACAATGATAGAGAATTTCACTTAACAAAGCAATATGGATTTCACAGTATTTGTTGTAATACATAGTTATCTTTTATTCATAATTACCAGATATATGCATGTAAAAATGGAAGAAGAAATAAAGAGAGAAATGTATAAGAAATTAAGAAGAGAAAAAGTATAAACAATTAGAAAAAGATAAAACAAATTAAAGCATCAACTTCTTTACATAGACCAGCAAAAATACACAGTACAGTTGTGCAAACTATCTTGCTTACATATATAGATAAATCTCTTTCCCACACACCCTCTCCTGTCATTCTCCTCCACTCAGTAACTCCTTCCTTTTGAATAAGTTCATTGCCTTTTCCCAGTATCTATTGTATCCTTCAGATTCCATTTTTGTCTTTTAGGTTCTCACACTAAGGACACAATACAAAGTTTGCATATGCAGGTTGAATTTATTTCACTTATGAATATGTTCTCTAGTTGCATCCATTTACCAACAAAAGACTCAAAGGTATCCTGTTTTATAGTTGAATAATACTCCATCATGTAAAAAATACATCTTATTCACTCATTCTTCACTTCGTAAGCATCTAAGTTGTTTCCAGGATTTAGCTATGACAAATTGTGCTGCTATAAACACAGGTGCACATATATTGCATTGGTATGAGGTTTTCAGTTCTTCTGGGAAAATACCCAGGAAGGGATAGCTGGCTTGGATGGGATCTTCAATCTTAACATTTTAAGAAATCTCCACACTGATTTTCATAGTGTTTATACGAGTCCGTATTCCCACCAACAGAGGAGAAGTATTCCTTTTCCCCCACAGTCCATCCAACATTTGTTATTGGTTGACTTCTTGATTTTAGCCATTCTTTCTTGAGTGACAAAGAATCTCAGTGTTGTTTTAATTTGTATTTCTCAAATGACCAATGATGCTGAACATTTTTTCATATATTTACTTGACATTTGTATTTC